AGAGACCTTAACTGCAAATCTTAGCTATATCACTATTACATGTGTGATTGTGTGCAAGTTAATTTTCTTCTCTTAACTTTGGTTTCATCATCTGTAAATGGGGATAATTACACCAGCCACAAAGGAGTATTATGAAGAATAAATGGGAGGCTGCCTGTAAAATGCTTACCCCAGTACACAGAACATATTAGGCCCTTTAAAATATTAGGTTTTACCACTATTATTATCACCATAAACGATATGCTTATTAATTTTGCAGATAATTCTGAGAAAGATATGTATTAAATTAGATTAAAGCATCAAATTCAAAAACCTTTCCCCAGATTGAATTCAATAAGTTGAATGAAACAAGGTGAAATTTAATATACATAAGTCAAAGTATTACATTTAGGTTAAAATATCCAGCTACACAAATATAAGTTTTCAGCTTAACTGTAGCACATACAAAAAGAAGCATTTAATTATTCATTGACAATATAGTTAAGAATAAAATTATAACTGTACTTTTTATTTTATCCCATATTTAATATAAAATGCAAGTAGTACAAAAGGGTATAAAAATAAAAGGTTAAGACTCTCCCTCTCAGAACCTCCTTTTCCCACTCCCTAGAAGAGCCACTTTCTTACATATCCTTCCAGAAATGTCTTAGGCCTAAAATATATATGCTCACCCTTTTTAAATCTTAACACTTATGGGTTAGACTGTTAGTGTTTTGTGCAACTTACTTGAAAAGGGGTTAAAACTAAAGTTGGATTAAAGTTCAATATTATTTAGAAGGGTGATGTGTCAACTGCAAACTTTAATCTGATTTTAAGCTTCAAAAGAAGTAGGTTAACAGTAAAATGGAGGAAACAGTCCAAGGCTATTTAGAACTTGTCAAACACATCTGGAATTTTCACTTACATATGGACACTACCTTTAAAGAAAACACTGACAAGCAGTATGTGTCTGGGGGAGAGTGATTAAGGCGGCTAAGTAATTCTAAACCACGTCTTCACTGAAGACCAGCTGTAGGACCTGAGGATGTTTAACCTGAAAGAGGGACAGGCACCTCAGAGGAACGAATGTGCTGGCTGTTTCTCTGGGAGGAAAAGCAGCCATTCAGATGACCTCAGAGAGCAGTGTTTACCCAGGGTTCTAACTGTTCAAAATGCTTTCTAACCGAGGCTTTTTTTTGACTAAGTAAGGACTTTTGTGGAGATAAGTGAGGCAACGTGTGTAAAAGGGCTTTTTAAAGTAGAAGACACACGGGGCGATAATTGTTTCTAAACATTAGAAAGGTCTGAAATTTGAATGGCAGGCTTCACCCAGGGTGACCCCAAAGCATTTCAGATGTTTAAGGAGAGGCTGGTACCCCGTTAACAAAAATTGTATTTTGTATTTTATTTATCATCTCAGAGTAGCTTGTTTGGATCTTTGAGTCTGGCTCGTTGCCTGGCATAAAATAGATGAAAATGGAAGGAAAAAAAGGAGGTAAGGAGGAGGGGGAGAAATGAATGAGTGATGTTAATCCAAGCATTTCCCCCCCTCCCCCACTCTTAACGCTTTTTCCCTCCCACCAGCTTGCCCATCTATTTCACAGTCTCCTCTGGCCTTGTTTTTCCATATACTTCTCTAATCCTCTACCCCACTTTCCTATCTCCTCTTCCATGATTTGTTATGGCCAATATCCTATTTCTTCCTTCTCCTCCCAAAGGGCATTTTATTGTCTGGCCAACCTCCTCAGCTAGATGCTTCGTCTTGCACTTAAGAAAATCAAGCTTGCGGTAGGTTCTTCCCAAATGGCTTAATGCCTTTACTGCACTTTCTAGCTTTCTGCGATCTCTTTTGCTCTTTTATTTTGCTTTGTTTACTTCAAAGGGCTAGTGAGTGAAAGTGTTTCTAAATACTGATTGTGGGCGCTGCCTTGTGATCTCTTCCATTTCAAGGGTTTTGACCATTACCTCCAAGTGCAGACTCTGGTCCAGCCTGTACACAGCCAGTTACCTGGAGTCTAGCCCTGGCATCTCCCTAGTAAGAAGACAAGGCTTGAGGAAGGTACCACTGCTTATTAGCCGAACAAACTTGGGCAAACCAACAACCTTTGGTGAGGCCCTCACTTGTCTTCACCTTTGTGTCACCATAGAGCTTAGCACTGTGGTTTACACATAGTAGATACTCAATGACTTATGTCCAATAATACATTCTTTAAACATTTTTTTTATATCATTAGGTGCCTAGCATTGTGCTAAGTGCTATAGCAGTTACAAAAAAAGTCTCGCCATTGTCCCTGACTAAATACTTAAATAATGTTGAGGTGACAAAGCAACAACTTAAAAATTATGTAAAAGAGTATGATTAAATACATTTGCTAAAACTTAGGCCAAATACATTGCACATTTGCTCTCAAAGTTTTCTAATTTAGTACTGCAACAAGTGAAAAATGACTACTGTGGACAAGAAGAGAAACTCCTTTATGGTTTGCAGAATATAAAGTCAGCTCTAAAAAGAAAGCTATTTGAATTTTCAATGTGTTTTTCAGGTTCTTTGTATTCTTTTAACAACCTAAATTACGAAACTTTCAGAATTATAAAAAAAAAACAACACAAAAAGACTCTGCGATGTTCCAGAAAGTACACACCAACTGGGTAGGAATTACAGGTGAGATGAAGACATGGCTGGATTACTGGATGGACATAAGAATGCCTCTTGGTGAGTCCTTGAAAGTTCACAGTGCGCTTCTGGCTGAAAAGGCTGGACACATTGCTTTCAATCCACTGAGAGTCATCAGATGTTGGGACTTTGAGGTCTGTGCTTCAAGGTTTAGGTGCCTGACCTTGATCTACAAAGTCTAAGAAGAGGTGTGAGTTAATGAATAGAAAACTGGACTAGAAGTCTGTGTTTTCTGACTTCCAAGAGCCTGTGAACAACAAAACCAAACCAAACAAAGAAGGAAGAAGAAAAAAAAAAGACTGACTTAGCTGCATCGGACACTGCTGGGCCTCATTTTGGTTTGAGGTTGAATACTGGTGTTTCAGAAATCAATTAAAACAAAAAATCACATGTTTTCACAACTTATTGCTTCATACCTGTTACATACTGACCTTTGAATAAGCAGGCATCTACGGACACTCCCCATGGGTGTGAAAATATTTGGTAGCTCTTGCATAATTATATTTTGGGTTTATACAAATAGAGTCTTAATCAGCACCACAGGAATTCTGTAGAAATTTCTATTCACACTGGGTTGTTATTTGTAGATGTAAAGTCTATTCAATATGTTCAGCTCATTGAGTATGTCTCATGTGGCAGAGCCTGCCTTTAAAATTGTGGGGTTGGCATCATTTAAACTGTCACGCATGTCCTAGCACCAGGGACCTCATGCTGCTGTGTAGCTGGCCTGAACCCTCTTTCCTTTATGCCATCCAAAATCCTCTAAAATATGTGCTTTAAAATGATTTCAGGCCCTGATGCTTTGAAATGATTTCTTTTCTCATTGCATGATGGGATAACGGAGCCTCCTATCACTTAACTTCAGTGATCTCCACTAGGGACAGCTGGACAGACAGCAACGTGACACATGGAATTAAAGGAATTCATGCCAGGGTGTGATGGTAAGATCAAAATGGTTCAGGCCCCTCCTGTCCCTTACTCCCACACAAACAAATTTGTCACTCTGTGGGGAAGACACCCACTGGTTAAATAGGTGAATGAGTGAATACCTGAAATCCGGAAATGTGACTAGGTAATTAGTGGAAGGTGAGGCCGCGGTGATGAGGTGGAAAATTCTGGGCAGCGGGTGGGGTGGAAAGCCTCTCCGATGCCCTCAAATTACAGGCCTGAGCTGGGGTTTCTCATTGTGGGTCTCAGCCAGTTGCAAGGGTCCAGCGGAGAACATCTGTGAACGTTCAACACCTGCATTCTGGGGTGGGCCCCACGAGGGCGGTAGGTTAAAGGAGGAAAGACCCCCAAAGTGAAGGTCTTTTTACATTGGCTGTCTAAAGCGCTCAGAGCACGTTGTAATTTATGATCCTATTGAATGTATTTAGAGCAATTGAATCTCTTAAAATTAAAACCAATAATCAGTGGGTGTTAAAGTCATCGATTGTATGCAGCATTGGTTTCTAACATGCGGTGGGGCTGTGTCTACAAGTCTGTCCCGACTTGGTGACACCGTCTCTAATCTGGTGTAACTGTCGTTTTTGTTCTTCCTGCAAGGGGGAGAGCCCGTTTCTCTTTTCTCTCCCTCTCTGAGGTGTGAGTCGTGCTATTTTTGCCTCAGAGTTGATGGATAGTTTCCGAGATTTAATCCTTTTCTCTACCTTCCGAACATTTCCATTTAGAATTACTCTTGTGTTTACCGCCAAGCTGAAAGACACGTTTGTTTTGAAGTCCCAAAGTGGATCTGGCGCTCTTCTTGGCTGGACGTGCCACTTACTGAGAAGGCCCTCGCGGCGGCGAGTCTGGATTCCGTCCTCGAGGGAGACGGGGGTCCTGTAGCCAGACCTCGGTCAGCCGGGACCCGCCGGTTGGGTCCTGGCCTCCGGGGACGGCGACCGCAGACGGGATCCCCAGCATCGTCAGACCTTTTCACTGGAGTCCTGCGGCTCCGAGTGGGAACCTCTGTACCCCTTCCCCTGGCACCAGCGGCCTCATCGGGGCGCATCTGAAGTGGGGGCCCCCTTGGTAATTACCAGCAGCCTTGGGGGCTGGTCGGGGAGCCTACCTGGTCTGGTGCAGCCCGGGCGGGGCTCGGTCCCGCAAGTAGAGAGGACAGGTGAGGGGGGCGTCGGG